GAACCTGAAAGCAGAAAGTTGGGAGCCACCGGGTGAGTGTGAAAGGTAACTAGCCAAGAGGAAAGCTCCTTGAGGGGTTGACCCCCAGGAGGGTGAGGTTACACTCCGGTCTGTAGGAAAGGCCTTTATAATGCTCAGCAGGCCATCTGCTCCCTTTCTTTGCCAAAACAGCAAACAGTACTTGGTCTTAGCCTTTTTTTCTGGGGTTCTACTGACCCTGCTGCTGATGGCCCTTGTCTTCTTCATCTTCAAGAGCTGCAGAAAATGTAAGTGGTCTCCAAGAGACGGGACAGCTCTTCTTTCTCTGCCATTGAAACCAGAGTTAGCTTTGAGAGGGAGTAAATCCTGCATGGCCCTCCTTCCCTGCTGGCCTGGCACTTGAATCCCTTCCTTCTGTCCCTTCTGTCCCTTCCCTTCCAGCCCTCCACCTCCAACACACCCTTCCACCCAACCCCTCTGCCCAAGATTGAAGGGAGAGGCTCCTGATTCCTCCTGGCCCCTATGGTGAGACTTGTCCCTCTTCTTCCTGGCTCTTGTGGCAGGTCACTCCAGGCCCTCAGCCCTGGCTCCTGACTCAGAGCCTCCAGCTAAGGTAAGACAGCCGTGCTTTGCCAGGACACTGGAGGCAAGCTGCCATTGGAATTTTCCTATGTGCTATGCCTTATTGACTACAGTAGTGGTGGTGGTGTTGCTTTCTGGACAGTGGGAAAGAGATTCTTGGAAGGGTTCTTCTGATCAGTTTGGGTCTTTTCTGACCAAAGTTTTTGAAGCTGCTTCTAAGGAGGCACTGGCCGCTAAAGAGACATTTCCCTCCAAGTTGAGCTCACTCCTTCCTCCTCCTCCTTCCTCCGCAGCTTTCATCTCCAGAGGAGACACTCACCTATGCCAGCATGGCTTTTGAACTTTCAGAAGAGAATCATAATCACTGTACTGTGAACCATTCTGAGGACTCAGACCATGTTGTCTATGATCAAGTTAAAGTGACCAGCTCACCCTCCCTTTTCAATGAGGCTTGAATCCAGTTCTTCACAGCTCAGCTCCATCTTTATATATCACTTAACCTTTTGACAAATCTTGGACCACAACCTGGTGAAACGACACTTGGGGTTGTTTGGCTGTGATCTGGCAATGCTGGCTGGCAGTTTTGAAAACCTGTTCCAAGTGTGCAGCACAGAGCCCAGTGCACAAAGAATGTTCACTCAGCATCATTGCTCAACTTGGGAGGGGTCAACCAAATGAACAATCTAGCAAGAATTACAAATAAAAGCAAACCCTCTGCAGCATTGGCTCCTTCTCCATCATTTATTTGTCCCTGTCACCTCCAGAGGTCCAGAGCTCATCCACGTCCAGGGACATCCAACAGGGGCGACGGTACTATCGGACAGACTCAGGATTCTGTGGGGCACAGGTCTCGAACTCTGCCACTTACCAGCTGCATTCATCTGGGCAAGTTATTTACACTTTTAAAGCTTTAATTCCTTTATCTTGAAGACAGAACTAATAACACTCACCTCTTAGAGTGAGAGTGAGATACATATACATAAAGCCTCTGTAAATCCCAGAGTTCTACACAAATTCAAGGTCCCTGTTGTGAAAAGCCCTGTTCGCATGTGGCAGTCCATCTCCTTGCTATAGCACAAGAGAGATGCACAGCAATATTATCTGGGAACTAAGATTAACCTAGATGTAAATCCCCCCCTCTAAATCCCAATGGATGACCTCCATACATGATTCCAGTAAAAATACCAATAAGATTATTTTTTACTCAGTAAGATTACTTTAAAGTTCTTATGTAAACAATAAAACAAAAAAGCAAATCCAGGAAAATTCATAATAAGCAAATAAATAAAAGTAACATGGGAAAGCTAGCCCTACCAGCTAACTAAAAGTACTCTTTTATTAAGCATGACAAATTAAAACAACATGTTAATGGTTCATGAATAAGGAAATCAATGGGTTAGAATAAATAGACCAGAAATAGACCAAAATGGATGAGGAAACTTAGAGTATGATTAGGATGACATACCAAATCATCTGGGAAAACTGGTTTTATTCATAAATGGTGTTGAGACAAGTTAGATGTAGATGAAAATAAGATCAGATCCATTATGTCACTCCTTATATCAAAATCAACTCCAGCTGTATTAAAAATATAACTGCAAAATAAATAATACAAGCCCTAGAAGAAAATATAAGAGAATTTAAAAAAATAATAGAGTGAAATATGCCTTTGAATATATGACACAAAACTAATAACCAGAAAAGATTAACTCAACTTAGAAAAGCCAGTCAAAAGACAAATGAAAGCTTGGAAAATATTTGCACAGCATCTCATAGACAATGGATTAATTTTCTTAATATACTAAGAGCTCCTTTAACTCAATAGGAAAGAATGTCAACAATTCATCAGGAAAAAAAGGACAAAGGATAAGGAAGGGCTAGTTACAGAAAAGGAAATATAAATGGGTCTTAAACATAAGAAGAGATACTCAACTTTACTCATAATAAGAGGAATAATAATTAGAAAATATTTTCCATCAATAACATCAGCAAAATTCAAAAAGCTAGCTCAGTTTAACAAGATTGTGGGAAACCAAGACCCACATTTCTGGTGGGAGAACAAGTTGATGGAACTATTGTGGAAGGCAATGTGGCAATAGCTAACAACATTTTACATCCTATTTCTCGGGATTTATCCTACTTAAATATGTGGAAAGTCACATATATGATTTTGATTATAGCATTCATCAAATTGGCTGAAACTCAGTGGGGCTTATTATAACCTAAGCACTATTCTAAATGCTAGGAATGTGTTCATGGATTCCTCAGGGAACACCAGAAGGTTATGGTCACTGTTATTCTCATTTTAGATACAGAAATGGAGGCACAGAGAGAGTTTAAATAAGTTTCCCAAGTCCACACTGCTAGTAACAGTGGGATTGTTTGCATGTTCATCCGTTATGCTCAACTTTCTGAAGCAGATTGAGATTGAGAAAAGCCTCAATGTCAATTGAAAAGGAACTGGCTAATGGAGTACAATATAGGCATTAAAAGGAAGGAAGTAGCTCTTTGTGTTCTAAGGGAAAAAAAGGTCTCCAAGATATGTTAAAGGAAAAGTGCAAAGTGCTTAATAGAATTCTGAATATGCCTTATTATATATTATTATATTATAAATATATATTATAGTAGAAACATTAAACTACAAAATGTGGGGTGTACCCACCCATGTATACATGATCCTGTATTGGTGTATATTCAGTAAGTCTCTGGAAGAATACAGCATTAACTGGTCTTAGTGATTGCACCTGGGGAGGGGAACTTGACACCCAAGGGACTGACAGGCAGGGATGGGAGGAGGTATGCTTCCCATTAAAAGACATTTGTAACTTTTAAAGTTCTTAATTTACCTTGTTGAGTATCTTCAGGGGGCCCTACCTAGTGCTCCCATTCCCCACTGGAATTCTGAACCAACAGAGAAATAAGAAAGAGGATTCAGCAAAAAGAGGACAGAGTACCACCTTTATTACGAACACAGTCAATGCTGGAGAAGGCAGCATACACAGTAGCTGCAGAGAGGCGGGCTTCAGAACCCTGAGGCGGTCAGGGCCGAGCCAAGGCAGGTCCTCTCCCCTCCCCACAACCAAGCCAGTAGCTCAACTGTCCCCAGGAGTTGCAGGTCAGGTGCTCTTTGGAAGCTACACCCAAAAGATTAAAAAAGGAAGAGGAAGGACAGAGTAGGTGTGCCTAGTTCCTTCCCCCAGACTTGTACAGCAGACACATCACTCCACCTCTGATGGGAGTCACTGAGGAGCCGTCCCTCAGTGGAGCTCAGTCCACAGGAAGGAAGTGGGGGGCGGGAGGGCAAAGGGGGAAGGGAAGACCCACCACAAATCTCCTAAAAAAAATACATTAAATAATATTCTTAAAATTCAAGGCAAGGAAATTACAGTTCAAAGAGATTAAATAATTTACCCAATATCTCCCAGCTAGTAAGTGGTAAAACAAAGTTTAAAGCAAGTCATCTTGACTTTAAATTCCTTGCAGCTTGCTTCCATACCAAGCTGCCCCACACAGTGGCAGAGAAAGTGGAAAAGTGAAGGCAGGTGATCTAGAGGGCATTTCCATTCTGAGACAGAGCAGCTTCTCCCCACAACTGAATTTTGAGAAGAGAGTGGAAGGGCTTGATACAGGGGTGGGTCCTGCGTGGGAACAAGCAGGTCGAGGAGAAAGCCACTGTAGGAAAACAGTCTTGGGAAAATGTGGAAGCCCAGCAAAGCATCCAGCCCCATGAGGGCAGCAGAGCGCCAGCGATGTTCTCCCCCAGCTTCTGGGGAGCATTAGCAGGGAAGACTGCCTCTCAGCAGTTCCCAAACTCTGGGCTGACATCAATTTTACCAACCCTGAAGTCAGAACCACATCAACTTTCCAGTTCAAAACCAGTGACTTATAAGCAGCTACAAGAGAGGGAGTACTGGCCATCTGCTTGAATGTGAAATACCAGATGAATTGCTCTTCTCTCTATTTTCTTGAAGGTCCCCATGTTAAACATGGAGCCCTGTTTAAAAAGTCCTGTTTTTTGCCTCACTAACATGAAAACTTGTGTGCAACTAGCCCTGCTAGAGGGTAAAATAAGTAATTAAATAACTGACCAAAGATTCAAAAGGTCTTTTTCTAGGTAAGGGGACAAAGAAAACCCTGAAGAACAAACCTGAAGGGTTATCAGAGGAAATAGTTTTCCAGATAGGTAAATATAAATATTCCAAGACATCTACAGATGTCTTCCTCTGTTGTGGAAGGTCAGTGTCTCCTAGCTTGCCTTGTGGAGTAGGGTGACCTAACCAAGCCCAGATGGGATTGCTATTTGCAGAACCTGTGGGCTAGTGGCTCCTTAATGTAAGTTCAGTACACGGCCACATGGAGGGATTGGGGTTGTTCTGTGGCTGAGGGAAAAGACAGCACTTTTGGTTGTTTGATCTGAGACTCTGGGAGGGAGGGGAACAGGCTGTATGGAAACACAGAGGATGACAGGAATGGGTTGGTACCCACAAGCTGGCGCTTCTCAGCAGGCTGTTAAGTAAATGAGTTCCTTTCCTAGGGAGAGAGAGGTTAGGGTGGAAGCTGAAGGAACTGTGTTCATGACTTTGTGAAACCCTGGACCTAAATGTGCAGGGTATGTGCAGAATCACGTCAAGAGCCAGTCTCCCCTGTCCCAGCCCCGCTCAGACCAGCAGGCCACTTGAGTCTCCTGTGCACTGAGACTAGCCAGCACCCTATTATGAGACCAGGAAAGTGAGTTTATATGAAGGCAGAAGAAATTGTGATAGGGAGACCCTGGGAACTCTCTGAAGTAGCAGGACAGACACTATAAGGAGAGAGAGGGTGCAGACATGTGGGTGGGAGCTAGAGTTTTGGTAATTCTGAAATTGATGATAATATAATCTTATCTGTATCCATAGCTGCTAATGCCTCCATCTTGATTTGCGTTTCCAGATTTGAATGACTATTTCACTTGGTTTCTAATTGATCAAAAGCAGCATCCATTTGGTCTGGTCGTAGTTCCCCAAACAGGACAGTCTTTTCACTCAGAGAACCTGAGAGCCAGCTGACTTAGCCTATTTCTCTTTCTCTGGATAGGGCAGCATGTAATACCTATTCAGAAATAAATTTAAGTAGTATGCTTTAAAAGAAACTTTTCCAAAAATACTTTTCCAGTAATAATCCGGGAGAAGTTAGTCATACCTTGGAGCTCATTCAACACTGGTCAGGAATTTATTGGCTAACAAATACAATGCAAATGATCTCCTGGCCCCATAACCAAGATTCTGCCTCTCTTCTTCACTTCTGGGTAGCTAAACGCATGAGAACTCAGATCTTGTGATGTTATCGGCCTGCAGCCTTGCTCAGGCGTGTAGCTCCTCCGGCTACCACCATTCTTACCTAGCTGCACACGATTGCTGGCAAGGTTAAAGGGTCCTTCAGAACACCTGAGAGATCAAAATCAGTCCCCAAGGTGTCATGGTGATTCTATGGCAGCATCACTTTATTTATAAACTAAATAAAAGCAATCTTTAGTCACATCTGTTCGGTTTAAGCCATTTCCTTTGGAGTCAGGACACATGTGAGGGGCTTCAAAGAGTTGTCTACTTTGGAGGAAATACAAAAGAAAACTGAGTTGAGACCCATTGCCTACCTCTGCTGAGTGTTTCTGCAGCAAAAGTTGAAAACTCTCTCATGGGGACTAAACACCAACGTCTGTTTTCAGAAAAACAGATGTCATTACTTCAAAGCTCACTGGCCAGTCAATAGGAAAGATTGGGGCATGGGGTCTGCAATTCACCTCTCACCAAGCTTCAGTGATATGAACATAACTGGACTTCAGAACCCAGAATGTCAAAGCCAGAAGGGACCTTGATGCAGGCTGCCACATTTCAATAATGTGAGCATGAAGAAGCAGGCCATGGCTAAAACAGGTTGCACAACTCCTTACTGAAAAGAAGTAGGATTGGGTTCCATGGCCTCAAGCTCCATAGCACCAAGTGGCTCTCCTGGAGAGCTCTTAATCCAGCTGACCATTTTACATGTGTGTGACAGTCTGTCTCCTTCCCACTTTACAGTAGAAGCTCTATGAAGACAGATGCTATTCCTTTTGCTCATCTTTGTATCCCCAGCATCCAGCATGGTCTTTGTTTACTGAAAGGATGAATGGATGTATTTATAAAAAATCCTGAGGAGTTTGAGAATGGGGTCCTCAATTGATTAAGAAAAGAGACTCATAGAAGTAAAAAGTTGTCCAAAGTCATGCCTTAAAGAAGTAACAGAGGTTTTTGCAAAAACCTATACTACAACTGTGTCCCAAAGGGAGTAGTCTTGGGAAAAACTGATACAGATGTTGCTTCATCTACACCCCCTATACCTCCACAGTTCCCAAAACTTTTGGAAGACATAAGGCCAGGAATGCTGCTGGAGCCACTAGTTTGATTTCTTAGGTCTCTGGCCACATGGCCAATTATCACACAGAAAGTATGAGACTTCACAGCCCTAGTTCTGAATTTCAGATTCTTCTGACTGCTGACCCTTGTGTTTCATTAGCAAGTGTTTCCTGGTTTCATTGTTTGTTTCTCTCATTCTTTGATATGTTGTTTTTCTACAATTCCAAAGCCAAAGAAGGTTGGAGTATGTTTTGTAATTATGCCTGCAGTGTCTCCATTGCCCACAGTATTTCTGTGGCTTCTGAACATTTAAAAACACAATAAACAAAAAAACTTATTGGCCAAACAATGGCACTTTGTCTGATGCTCTTTCTTCCCTGTGTCCACCTGAGAGGTTCGCAGAATCACCACACCAAAGTCACTGGAGGATTTGGGTTTCTCTGGTGCTGCTCCATCAGGAAAGGTGGGCAGATCCACACAGTGCCTTCTGACTAAATTTTCTGTTCTCTATTTAGGAATGGGGAGGCCTAAAGATCGGGTAGCTCAAGACAGAAGAGCCAAGGAGGGAACTTACTGGAAATATGGGGGTCATAGAAAAAGCTTGCCTGGTTTTCTGACTTCTAGCTAGACCCTTACCTGTAATTGCCCAACAGCGGAAGAAGGCACTTAAAGGCCACTTCTCCCTTGGCTCAAAACTATGCCTGATGCCACTGGGCCTGTCCTCCTATGTTCCTGACCCTTCTCAAGGAGATGTTTCTATTCCTACTTACCCAGAGGTAAAAAGCCCTGTGTGGACTAGAGGTGGCCCATGGTTAGAGAGTCCCAGGCTAAAGGCTATTGGGGAGGATACCAGAGACACTAGAGAGCCAGTCTATCTTTTAAGAACTAATCAATAGATGACATAAATGTCACATCATGCTTCTGAGGGCCACCAAAACCCAACAGAAATCCCAACACAGCCACCCACATTGCCTCCTCCATCAAGCTCTGGAGTTGGGGGGTCTGCATTTTATTTAAACTAAGGTGCACATTAGGTGGCACCTCTCACCCTGAGCCTAAAATTACACAGTCAAGGAAAAGCAGAACCACACAAAGTGGAAACACTGTGGGGCAATGGATGTCACGTATTCAGTAAGAGGCTTGCTGAACAAATGTCCAGTTGTTCAAGTATAAGCAAGACTCTAGCACCAGGAAGAGGCTTCCCACAGCTTTCCTTAAATCCTCTGATGTGTATTCCTACTGGCCTTGTGCTCTGGATTATGATAGGAAAAGACATCCCTTCTAGAAATGGAAACACTGAGAAGCCAGCCCCAGGAGGAAAAATACAAACTCTAGTGCTTTCCAAAGCTCTCTGCCTGAGAGACAGAGGCTTTCTGAGCTAAAAAGAGGTTTTCAGCATTTGACGGAAGAATTTTGGTGGGCGTCTAGAGAACCTATGTCCTAGCCCTGACCCAAAGGAGCAGTTGACCGGCCTTATCCCTGCCAGTTGTGGAATTACGTAAGTGGGCAGCTTTGAGGGTGTTCATCCAGGCACCTGGGTCACTTTTTGCAGCCTTGGTCACCTCTCAAGGAACTAATCTTCAGGATTCTAGACCTGCAAGGCTGGCCATAGAACACAGAGGTTTAATAACAACCTCAAGGCCTTTCCTGAGCAACAGTGCAAAGCGCTCGCACCTGTTCGCTTGTGCACGCCTCTCCCAAGCCCTGTGAGCCAGATCGCTGTTGGGGAGGGGAGGTCCCAGGAGCATCCCAAGGCTCAGACAGCCTCCTCTTCCCCAAATTCCAAGTTAATTTCAAGCACCTTCAACAACTCTACTTCGGAGGGTAGGAGAAATCGGGTTACCCCAAAGAACCCAGGGGGAGCCTGAGCTGCTGCTCCACTGGTTTCAGTAATTCCACATCAGTGAACACCCACAGCAGCGGGGGACCCCCAGCTAGACCCCTGCAGATGCCCACCTTTCCCAGACCAAAATCACTGCTGAGGGCTCCTCTGCTGTCAGTCACAGCCAGCTCTGCAAAATCCATGACGTCTCTGGCAATGTTCCACTAGATGCCACACCAGCACCGGCCCGCATCCTCCTTGGGCAGGCGGGACACAGTGACAGTGAGCTGGTTTCCTGAATCCCTCAGGGCCACATGGTCAGTACTGCTGGGTGTGAAGGCAATGATGTTGCAGTAGTTCGGGGAATAGTTGCGGCCCCGGTATTGGGGGTGCTCCTCAGAGCGGGCATTGTAGTTACAGAGGACAGACGCTGTGTCCAGCACAAAGCTTTCCTGGACCTTTTCATCCATGACCATGGCATCTGCAACAACCCCCCACCAGCACCCACACACACATTTGTTATTTTAAGTACATTGTAGCTCCTTCCCTCCTGTAGGAAAACTAATTAAAGCATTGGAGGCTGATTTCTGCCTGTTTTGGGTCAGCAACTAATGGGCTGAATAGTGTCCCCCTCTAAAATTCATATGTTGACATGCTAACCCCCAGTACCTCAGAATGTGACTCTATTTGGAGACAGAGCCTATAAAGAGATAATTAAGTTAAAATGAGGTTGTTAGAATGGGCCTTAATCCATTTTGACTTATGTCCTTATAAAAAAAGGAGATTTTATGACACAGACAAAGGACAGAGGATGACCATGAGAGGGCACATGGAGAAGGTGGCCCTCGCAAGCCTGTGAAAAAGGAGAAATCAAACCTGCTGACACCTTGATCTTCAACTTCCAGCCTCCAAAATGTGAGGAAATAACTTCTGTTGTTTGAGCCCCAGGAAGCCAGCCTGTGGTGCTTGTTACAGCAGGCCTAGCAAACTAATACAGCAACCCTGGTGAAGTCTTTCTCCCTGGCCTCAGGGTGGGTAAAATATGGATTCCCCTCTGTAAGAACTTAAGAGGCCTCTCACCATTGCTGAGCAGGAAGCTTGAAGAGACTGAGGCTTACTGTTGGTAGAGCCTCTGTCCTTCACCCCCACTCTACCTTAGTACCCTCCAAAAAAGAAAACGAGAAGGTTTAGAGGCTTCTGCTGGCTGTACAGAGCTGAAAACAAGGGGTTTTTCCTTAGGGGTAAAACACTTCCTATTTCCTCTGTAGAAGACCAGCTAGGAGCTCTGCCCTCCCAGGGTATTGCGTAAAGAGGAAGTAGTGCACACCACATCCAGTTTGACTGTGGCTAGGGAAGTGTCTGACCAAGAGAAGAGGAGGGGACAGCAGAGCCCATCCCTCTCTCAGCCTTCCAGATGTGTGTTGGTGAATCTCAAATGCACATCAAATGTAGCTCATGGTGGGTGGGACCTGCCTACACAGCAGGCTCACATCCTTGACATCATTTGATATGATTTGATATTTTGTTCTCATATCAACCCACGAGGAAGATAGTATGATGCTTAGTTTATAGGCCCGGGTGCTGACCTAGGGCAAGGGACAGCAACTCTCAAAGGTCACTGGGCTGGACAGCCACAGAGCAGGGCCAACCCATGCCTCTTAGTCTCATCCTTGGGCTCTGGCACGGGCAGAAAGTGGAAAGTCCCAGCTTCATGTAACTGCATAAACATTCTTAAGGGGAGAAGGGGGAAGGAAAGGGGAACTCACACTGAGAGGGAGACCACAGAGCTCACACTGCAGCTGAGGGTTTCAAACTCCCCATAATCCTCTCATAAGAGTGAAGAACAAGGACTAATTAGACAGGATCTATTTTCACCTCCTTTAATTTTTCCATCCCACTCCTTAGGTGGTTCACTAATAAGCAGAAACTCCACGTAGGGGAGGAGGAGGAAATGCAAGGTCTCTGGGAAGACTGGAAGGCTGGACCTGTTCCTCTTCCATAGCTTACCTGAGAAGACAGTCAAGAGGAGCAGAATGAAGAGTCCCGTGAGCAGAAAGAAATGAACCTTCAACTGGAATGACAAGATGTACCCAGGGATCTCAGGAGGATCTGTTTAAGGGAAACAGATATCTTAAGGCTTAAGGTGGTTTTATCCTAGTTGGAGAGACCAGGGAAAAGGGCACAGCCAGTTAATCCCAACAGTGCTGTTGTGTGTAGGTGTCCTAGTTGGGCACTGCACAAGGGTACCTCATTAGAGGAATGCCATTCATGGACATAAATTTACTTTTACAATAATATGGGCAACTGAGAAAATTATGGGCTTCCTGGCAGAGCCCAAAACAGCATGGGGATCCCTCTCCTGGATAAATCTGCCCCCATACAACAAAGGCACAACAAAGCCTTGTTCACACTCAGAAGAGCACATACATACACACCATCACTGGCACTCATTCATATATGCAACTGTGCCCTGTCCTGCCAATGGTCCAGGCACCACCACGGCCACTCCCCTTATCTTTCCACCATTCTTGGAGGCCCAATTCCTATTTAGTTTTGAGGAAGACTAGTAAGGAGATTCCTAATTTCCTTGATTCCAGAATGGACTTCCTTGACTCCAAACCTCACCCAGGGAGTGGGCTTGGGAGTGGGGCCTGAAGCTATTCATAGCTGATGTACCTGGCATCTGGAGCCCAGGAACAGGTGAAAGTGTAAGTGTGTGCGTGTCAGCAGCCAAGGATGCAGCCTCCGGACTTCTTGAAAGCTTTCTTGGTTAGAACTGGAACAAATCAAGGACATCTGTCCGTGTGGTAGTAGCAGAAGCTTCCCCTGAATCCTAATGGGACTCCTATGGCCTGACCACTGGTTTTTAAAATTTAAATTATGGAACCACCTCTCAAGAGAATTTAAGTTGAATGCTACTTATAACATCCCAAGGCTAGCACTTCCGGTCAAGGGCCAGATATGGATGAGAGTACTGGTTGCTCAATAACATCCTCTCTTAAGGAAGGGGAGCCTTCTGCTAATTCACATGTAGTCAGCACATGGGCCAACAGCAAGGCTGTTGTTTATCTATATCGCCTGGTGTTTTATCTATATCACTTCATTTACTCCTCATCAAACATCTGAGTGTTCAACAAATAAACAGCAAGTGGGAAAAAAAACGAAGGCAGGAAGGAGGAATCTATAGATTAAAAGGGGCTTGGGAGACTTCATGACAAATTACAATATATGGAACTTATTTGGATCCTGATTGAAGCAAACTAGACAGTGACTAGATAGTTGAAGGTATTAAAGAAATTGTTAAATTTTTTTCAGATGTGATAATGGTATTGTTGGGCTATTGTCAGCCTCTAAGATGGTTTCTGACCTACAAGTCATTGTGTAGTCCCCTCCTAAACTGAAACAGGGCTGGCCTGTGAGATTAATAAAATATGGTAGAAGTGATGGTGTATGACTTGCAAGGCTAGGTCACAAAAGATATGCAACTTCCACCTTAGTCCTTTGCATTGCTCCTTCTTGGGCAAGGAGACGCCATGTCATAAGGAACCTCAAGCACACCCATGAAGAGATCCACACAGAAAGGAACCAACCTGCCAGCATCAACTTGCCAAATATGTGCGACTCACCTTGGGAGTGAATCCTCCAGCCACACTCAAGCCTTCAGATGACTGCAGATCCAGCAGCCTCATGACAGACCCCACACACGCACCTCCCAGACAAAAGGCTACTGAATTCCTGACCATGGAAACCACAAGAGGTAATAAAGGATTATTGTTTTAAACCTCTAAGTATTGGGGTAGTTCATCACCTAGCAATCAATAATTAATACAGATATTGTAGTTATATTCTTTTAAAGCTGTCCTTGTCTCTGAGAAAGCTGCATGCAAAGCAAACAGGATTGCTCAGAGATAGCACCATGAATCAAAGAAATGTACACAGACAAATATCAATAAAATGCCTACGACTTGAAAAAGTAACATTATTAAAGCCAATGAAAGGCCCAGAGTTACAGAGAATAAACAAATGTGTTTATTAGCATTCTGAGTATTACTTGGTGTTATTGTAGAACAGATTTTCACTCTTTCAATGTGTAAATAAGAAGGCAAATGGGTAGTAAGATAAATGAATTGATCATTTAAAAATATCTTTTTGAAATATAAACTGAAATGTTTACAAATAATTTGATGTCCAAATTTTCATGATAATCAGGGTGAGGGGATAAATGACACAAGATTGGCTATAAGCTGATCATTATTATAGCAGGATTAATAAATATATGAGGGTTTGTTGTGCTAGTCTCTCCACTTCTGTTTGTTTGAAAATTTCCATAAAAATAAGTAAAAAAACCCAAAAACAAAAAAACTTTGACACAGACATTGATAGTGCCATTTTACAAATGAGGAAACTTGAAGCTTAGTTTAAGTAACTTGCCCAAGATCACGGAGCTGGTAGAGCTACTATGATATGAGGCTAAACACGAAAAATAAAAAAGTTCTTTCTATCATGCTGTTCTTCCTCAGTAGTAATAACACTGCAAAGTTCTAGCACATTTCAGATTTTTTAAATTAAGGTATTATTGATATACACTCTTATGAAGGGTTCACATGAAAAAACAATGTGGTTACTACATTCACCCATGTTATTGTGTCCCCCCATACCCCATCGCAGTCACTGCCCAACAATATAGCAAGATGCCACAGAGTCACTGTTTGCCTTCTCTGTGCTACACTGTCTCCCTCATGATCCCCTGCACACCATGTGTGTGCCAATCATAATACCCCCTCAAACCTCTTCTCTCTCCCTCCGCACCAGCCCTCCCCCATCCCTCCCCCTTCTTGGAGTCTGTGAGTCTGCTGCTGTTTTGTTCCTTCAGTTTTGCTGTTGTTATACTCCACAAATGAAGGAAATCATCTTGTACTTGTCTTTCTCCGCCTGGCTTATTTCACTGAGCATAATATCCTCCAGCTCCATCCATGTTGTTGCAAATGGTAGGATTTGTCTCTTTCTTATGGCTGAATAGTATTCCATTGTGTATATGTACCACCTCTTCTTTATCCATTCATCTACTGATGGGCACTTAGGCTGCTTCCATATCTTGGCTATTTTAAATAGTGCTGCAATAAACATAGGGGTGCATATGTGTTTTGAATATGAGAAAATATATTCTTTGGGTAAATTCCTAGGCCAGGAATTCCCTGGTCAAATGGTATTTCTATTTTTGGCTTTTTGAGGAACCTCCATATTGCTTTCCACAATGGTTGAACTAGCTTACATTCCCACCAGCAGTGTAGGAGGGTTCCCCTTTCTCCACATCCTCGCCAGCA